AAAAAAAAAAAAAAAAAAAACAAAACAAAACTGTACGTGACATAATTATACAGTACTGTGCACTTACTTTGTGGAGGAACTTTGTCGATAGCTTATTTAATATGTTTATTCCACGAAGTTACGAGAAGAAGAGCGTTGCGAGACGTGATATATTCAAATCCCCGTGGATGTTCTGAAAATGATGCACCCAAGCAGTGAAGAGATACTTAAACGTGAAAAAATACGCGCGCGCGATGGCGAAGGAGAAAAAGGATCTTGTCAGCGCTGCCGATTAAACGAGCAAGTAAGATTGTTTGATGTGTTGCCAGTATATATCAGATGTTTTGTTACAAATATGCAACATTCGTTTCACTCGAACAGACTTTCGTTGGGAATTGAGAAAAGCTTGTATTGCTTGTTTACTTGCACGTTAATGCGAATTAATAAAGAGATTCAAGTGCATTTTAATCTCGAGTTCTTTATTGAATAGAAATTAAACGAACATTTCCTGACGATGCATGTTACAAGGAGATGTAGATAGTAAGATAATAAAATCATTGACAACTGACGAAGTTTAGAAAAAAAAAAAAAATATATATATATATATATATATACATATGTATATATTGTCGCGGAAAAATGCATCTTTCTGCTGATTGTCCATAAATATTATTGTATATTGCCAGTAAATTAATATTATTCACAGAGGCATATAAAAACTATTTGAGAAACATGTATCGTCATAGGTATATATTAGAAAAGGCAGGAGGAACAAATGTACCGTTTAACTGACAATGGCAAGAATGATCATCAACTGATGAAAGATAAAGAAAGAATACAGATCAAACATTTTTACGTACGTTTTCCTGCCTGTTCTGGGGATACAATACGCCAGGCGAATTTGTAACAAAACACAATCGACTAACTAGAGGGAATTGTTAAACAACATCGAGGATTTGTTTAATCGGCTAGTCAGCATAGATGTTTTTCTTCTTGCAGGAGAATATATTAAGAGGCAATGTAATCGACAGACTATCACTTGCTACGTGTGAAGACGGCGAGTACTAACTCTATCGTTTGAAGGTCCGAACTTCTCTACTAGTCTGGCCAACGATTGCGTACCACTGCCGAGCCATACCGATGTACCGTGTTAGCGTACCGTGAGTGCCCGTACACGTTGTATCCATTAATTAATGGCCAAGCACAT